AGGCCAGCGGGGGCGGGCAGTGAGGGATGACCAAATGACCGAACAGCAGGCTGCGTGAGGCGACGAGGCCGGCAGGGGGAGCAGTGAGGGGTGACCAGGCTTGGGGGCTAGTTGGGGGCAACCAGGCCGGTAGAGGGCAGCAGTTAGGGGCAACCAGACTGGCAGGGGGGCCAGTGAGGGGTGACTAGGCTGGCAGGGGGGCAGTTGAAGGCGACCAGGCTGACAGGTGGGGCAGTTGGGGGCGACCAGGCAGGCAGGCAGGTGAGTGTTTAGGAGCCAGCAGTCCAGGATTGTGAGAGGGATGTCTGAGGGGTCCCGGATTGGAGATGGTGCAGGCTGGGCTGAGGGCCACCCTCTCCCGTGCATGATTTTTGTGCACTGGGCCTCTAGCTGCTGTATAAAATATAAGTTGTTAAAAGAGTACAAAGAAATCTCATCATAAGGAGAAAAGTTTTTTCCCCCTTTTTTCATTGTATTTATGTGAAAAGATGGATGGTAGTGGAACCTACTGTGGTAATCATTTCACAGTATATATAAATCAAACCATCATGCTGTATGCCTTAAACTTGATACAGTGATATATGTCAATTATTTCTCAATGAAACTGGCAAACAAACATAAATTTCCACCTCTTAAAATACTGTACTACCAACTCTTTCATGGGTTACAAATTATTGTACCCCCTTATTCCACACAGACAGAAATCCAAATCTGTATTTATTTCTAATACAAACTTCCCCTGGCTAAAAAAAAATATTTGAGAGAGTTTTCAATGAAAGTTACATCAACTGCCAAGAACATTTGATGAGAGTTGAAATTGTGTAATCAAAGCATTTTCCCTTTTTTATTAATTAAAAGTACCGTTGAATCAGAGATAATTTATGTTTTTAAATTATCTGTGACTCCAATTAACACTCTGTTAAAACACACTCACATGGTATCAGGGCCAAAATCCTTCAAGTCATGAAATTATTTCTCCTTTTGGGATCATTAACCTGTGCATTGTGAAATTCTATTGAAATCGTCAAGCCTGTCTCTTCCATGTAGCCACTCTGTCCCCTTACCTCTGACCTACGTCACATCTGCCCTTCCATCACAGAGTCAGCTGCCCTGATGTCCCAGGATTGTGCAATCCCAAGTGCAGCAAACAGCTACCTGGAGCAAAGAGGTCAGTGTATTGATCTGTTTGCTGTTTTTAACCCAGGTTTGAAATACTATTTGACCTACCTACATTGAGAGGAGTAATTTAAAATTCTGTTCTCAAGAGAACATCAGATTCCTGAGGAAATACCCTTAGGACAAAGTTTGCTTGAACACTTCACAATTCAATGCCAACCAATCAGTTCTCTGAGCTCTCGTGAGATGTAAGGCTTTTTGAGTTCTGCATATGTTTCCTTATTCCTAAAACAAAGATAGCAGAAAGATCCACTGCTGTAAAGAACTTTAAAGTATTTTGGAGGAAGACCTATTCCAACAGAAAGAACTAGTTTCTGCAACCTTGTTGCTTTTCAGAGGAAGCTTTCTGGAAGGTATTACTGTATAGTGTAGTGGTTAAGAACATGAACTTTGTTGAACAACTAGAATTGAACAAGAAATAGAGTTGGAAAGAACTTTGATGAGTCTCAACTCTTCCCTTAGTACTTGTACAACACTGGGCAAGTGACTTGACTCCTCTAAGCCTGTTTCTTCACCAGCATTATTCATGGGACAGCAAGCAAAACAGCAAGCAGAGGAAAAATGAATGACAGTTTGTGCCAAAAAGGCAACCCCTATAGAATAGGGGTTAAAATTTTGCAGGAAAGTTTCCTGCTTGCTTCTTAGTTTACAGAGTAAATTGAGGCTGATGGTTGTTAAAGAAAGGTGAGGAAGAGAGGAAATATAGAAGTTTTGGGGGAAGTGATGACAGTTCCCTTCTGAGGGATGAAGAGGAAGGGGCTAAAGAGAGACAAGCAAAGTATGGGCCAAGGGATGAGGGCTCAGCAAGGATGCCAACGGTGACCTGCAGTAGAGGCAGCACATGGTGAATTAGAGATACAGTCACGTGATGACTAGAGTTTTCAAAGGTTAAATGACTCACTATAGGTCACACAGATTTTTTAAAACATCCTGGCTCCAAGTACAGAGCTCCTTCTAATCTATAACAGGAGATCTGGGTCTACCCTTCATAAGCTTTCCTTTGGGCCTCAAGTTTCTAGTTTGCAAAAGCCACCAGGCCAGGTGATATTGAAAGTCTCTCAGTTCTCTAGGACAGTGGTCGCCAATCGGAGGTCCATGGACCACTGGTGGTCCAGGACAGCCGAAAAGTTGGTGACTGATGCTCTAGGACAGGGGTCTTCAAACTACGGCCCGCGGGCCACATGCAAACACAAATATTGCATTTGTTCCCATTTTGTTTTTTTACTTCAAAATAAGATATGTGCAGTGTGCATAGGAATTTGTTCATAGTTTTTTTTAAACTATAGTCCGGCCCTCCAACGGTCTGAGGGACAGTGAACTGGCCCCCTGTTTAAAAAATTTGAGGACCCCTGCTCTAGGATGTTGTAATGGGAGTTATGCTCCTGGTTCTGCTTCCTACTGGTTGTGTTATATGGTACTTTGGGCAGTTCATTGGAACTCCCTGGCTTGTTACTGTAATTAAATTTTGTTCCAGAAGCTTGAGTTCTCAAAAGTGAAGTGATCCTATGAAGACAGTTTTATGCTATGTTGAGGTAAGTCTCCACTTATCAAGAGTTCTGAGTCCTTCATGGCACCTCCTCCCTCAGGGAGGTCTATTCAGTTGTGAAGCACGTAAAATTTAAGTCACTGGCTGGCACACACACACACAAAAAATCACTTATTTACGTTGTAGGCAGAGATAACAACACCAGGTGTTAGACTGGTGGGGTCAGACCGGACCTGGGTTCAGCAACCTTGGTACTTGAGTTCTGGCTAGGAAAGAATTCAGAGTCAAGACTCAAGTTATAAGAGAAGATCTATATATATAAAAGCCAAGCGACCGTCAGATCGGTCACTATGACGTGCACTGCAGCTAGCCAACGAGCCAATTGGGGGGCGCCCCCCCCCCCCCAGCCAGGCCAGGTTGGGGGCGGGGCCAGCTGGCCAACTGCCCATGGCAGGCTCTGCCCCCAACTGGCCCCCATTAGGGTGGGCCAGCCGGACCCCACCCGTGCATGAATTCATGCACCGGGCCTCTAGTTTATTTATAAAATTACAGAGGTGGAAGAAGTAATTTGTAAAGAAATAGGCTTAAGAAATGGGCTTGGAAATAAGTTAAAGAGGTAAAGGACGGGCGCTTGGAGCTTGGGAGTGAGGAATGAATGGTAAAGCACCTAGCAGGTAGGGGAGAGAGGAGGGGAAAGGCACAGGCATGGTCCTGGGAGGTGGAGATTTTTGGGGAGGTTCCAAGGGAAGGTCTTAGTAGAATAGTAGCTTTCTAGGTATGTTCTTTCAGGGTCTAGGTCTCGGCTGATTGATTGGTCAGTACCAGGGCAGGGGGCATTATTCAATGCAGCTGGTCCTGGGGTCAGCTGTGGGGTCACTTGTCTGGTTTTCTGGGCCTGGAGCTGAAATAAAACTGAGGCCTAGATGCAACCTCTAGGGAGAAAAGGCAAGATGTCCAAACCACATGACCGGGAGGGAGGGATATGCTTGGGGAGGAAAGGTCACCCTGGGGCAAGGTCCCACCCTACACTTGTCCAGTGCTAGGGACCCAGGGCTTTCTGTGCTGGTGCCCTTCTGTACCTGGCCCATCGCCCTTGCTCTGCTCATGTCTGTCTAACTGCGGACCCACGGTTACATTGGCAGTAGTCCAACACCACACACAAACAGGGCAGAAAGTTGTAAAAGCAAATGATACCATGTTTCAAGGAAGAAAATGCTATGTAGAAATGACGCCTGAACCAAGCACTCTAAGGCCCTGAGTGTCACATATGCTGAGTGGGTCTTAGCTGTGCCTTAGGGAGAGAAAGTTCCTTTACACAACACATGCCTGAGTAGTGCTTTTTAATAAATTGGCAGAGCTATAGAAATAGCCTAAAAGATCAGAGAGACCGACTGACTTAGAGGTTCAGTTTTCATCAGTGGAAATGGATTTCCTTGGGGAAGGCAGAATGGGAAATGGTTTTTGTTCTTTTTTTCCTGCAATAACAAACTTATATTTCATCTTTCCTTTTCCATTACTTTCGTACTAAATTATAATTTATAATTAAGGCCTTGAGCCCGATCCCAGCAAGGTCACCCGGCAGCCTCGCCGACCCTTCCCCGCCAGCCCGCCCCCGCCCTGAGGTTTACTAGAGCAGAGCCTCACGGAAACCCTCCGGGAGCCCAGGGAAGGGAAGCAACGAAAGGCCGGGCGGCGCACGGCCACCCCAGCCCCTCCGGCCCCGGTGCCGGTCAGCGCCCCCCGCACCCTTCCCCGGCCGGTGCGGGAGGAACGCCGCCGCCCCGCGCCCACTTCCGCTTCCCGGCGGCTCAGCCCGCCCCGCCGTTGGGCTCCGCAGCCGCGGAGACCGCCCGCCCGGGGCCCGGGCGCGGGGCGGGGCGGAGGGCCGGCCGTGGCCCACGTGGGGGTTAAGCGGCCGCCCCCCCGCGGAGGGAGAGGACCGCAGGCCCCCGAGCCCGAGCAGGACCGGCCCTTCGGCGCGGCGGTGAGCGCAGCCCCGGCCTGGCGCTCGCGGCTGCTGGGAGCCGGCCGGGAGCGGGGCGGGCGGGCCTCCGCGCCCGGGCGGCGTGACCTTCCCGGGCAGCCGGCGAGGTGGCCAAGGCGCGGCGCGCGTGCCCAGGGACCCGCGTGTGGCCCCTCGTCCGCGTGCTGCCCGGGCTCGGCGGGGACTCGGGCTGCGCGGCCTCCGCCTGCGCTCACCGGCGGGAGGCTCCGCGGGTGCGCGGAGTGTGCGGAGCGCCCTGTGTGCGGAGCGCGGGGGACCGGGCGCTTATGAATGGGAGACGCCTGCAGGTTGCCGGGCGGAGTCAGAGCCGGGGAAGTTGTACGTGGGCTCCCTGAGGTGCCCCTCGTGCGGGCGAGGATCCGAGGCCCCGGGAGGAGTGCCTCGTGGGCCGTTCGGTAGTGAAGCTGGGTCGCCTCCCCGCGCAGCTCTGCCCCAGCTCCGGGACCTGCTGGCCGGCGGCCGCCTGCTGTGCAGGTTTAGCTGGAACTTGCGAGTCGAATGCGGCCTCTAGGTTCTCCCACTAGAGAAATTAATTTCCTTAGGAAATCAGTTAAGATGTATGACCAGCGCTGTTGTCTGTCCTGAAGTCCGACCCTGGTGTCGTTTTAAAGGGGGGGAAAGGGATGCTGAAAGGGCTCAGTTTTTATATTTCAGGTGGTACTGAGGCTTATCAATCAGTTTAACTCACGCTGATCAGTCTTGCAAGCCCTATGCCTCCTTCAAACCAAAGCCACTCATAATATGAACCAATTGCCCACACTTTGCCTTAATGTTCCGATCACTGTTTACTATCCTAATAATTCTACAAGTAGTTATTTGTAGGATTTGACGTGTTTAATAAGTTCAGCTTACCTGAGGGGGCTGAATCCACAGTGATGGCATTGTATAATCCGGCGTGCCTTTCTTTTCCTCCTAAGAAAGAAATGTCCATTCCAAAAGGAATGAAGACACTGAGAGGCCATATTGGATGTGCCCTGTTTGTGTGACTCCTTAAAAAAAAATTTTTTTTTAACTGTTGATAGTATTACAGATGTCTCCAATGCCCCCCACCCCTTTTCCTCCCTCCGCCCAGCCCCTATTGTGACTCCTTGATGCACGTTCACAGTTCATCTTTCTCTGGCCTCAATTTTCCATCTGGAAAGGGGGGAGATTAGATTATGATCTTGACATCCTTCTCCAGAAACCGGATGGCCACCACCTTATCAACCATTGGTACTGCCTCTCCAGGCCTGTCAATAACATTACATCATTGCCATTTGCTTTAAGTACTGTGATTTTATTGTTGCTGGTTTTAAATTTTTTTGTAAAAAAAAGTTAGGTTCTTGGTCTGTGGTTATTGGCAACCTTCTTCAAGTGGTTAAAATTATTTTCTTCTGACCTTTAGGAGATGGTGTTCATCACTGATCCAGCCCACCCCTCAGTGCCCCTCCTGAATGGTGGCCTGACGGATCACACAGGTCTTCAGTGTAATGAGGATAAAAACTGTTCCTTGTTGTTAGAGAAGTCACTTACATAGTTTGAAAATCATACAGAGTTGGTTGCTAAACTGGTTATTTGGATATTCTATGTTAATGAACCACCATTGCTTTTTGTACTCTATATTAAGTCTATACCTCAGCAATAGTTGAATTTTGTCTAAAGGTAGAGGAGTAAGCTCTGGTTTTTACACAGAATCAAGATTTCCAGGAGAGAGGCCTGTTATTTGAACATTTAACAGGTGCCCCAGAAGTGGTTCTTGTCAAACATATTTGGGACACAATAGAGCAGGTGTTCTCAAAGTGGTTGGTGGTCAGGCATTATCAGGGCTGGCAGCATTTCTGGTCTCACCTGAGGCCTGTCAATCAAAATCTGCAGTTCAACAAGGTCCCCAGGTGATTTGTGTGCACACATGTTTGAGAAGCACTGGTGGGGACTGTGATTATGATAACTGATGTTCAGTGCTGTGTTTTGCTGGTTCTAAGAACTGATGCATGGTCACAGTTCATTATCTGTCCCACGTGGCTATTTGTGATTGCCTTTGTATTACAACAATAATGCTTTTAATATTTGCCTTGTATAGATGGGGACCCCCAGCTTTAGGGGTCCAAGGCGCCATCCTGTTGGTGGCAGAGTAGACAGGCATTCAGACTTTAGCATGTGTCACTGGCACAGCTCTTAACCTGTTGTTTTTTCCCCAGCCCAGCTGTTTTGTGACCTTCTCTAACGGACCCAGCACAGGCTGCTGTCTGAATGTAGAACTGAGCCTAGCGGAGTGATGGTTCAACTTAAATCTCTACAAAACTTATTTGATGTGACTTCGGACGTCAGTGGCTAACTCACTTATTTGGCATTTGTTTCTAAGGGTTTCAGAATGGTGGGATTGAAGTGCCGCTCACCAGGGCTGTAACATTGATACCGAAGGACGGTTTTTGATCTGTGAGCTTTTTGTGAGGAGGTGGTGGCCAGGTAAAAAGGGAGGCCAGTCACTAAACAGCACTGACATCTTGAGCCCACTTCCTTTGGAGCTGATTTCCCAGCTCCCAGAAGTTCAGGTCCAGTAACCAGGCAGCAGGTTTAGAGAAAGGGAGGCTGCAAAGGCCTGTCTGATGGTGAACTCTTGCCTCCTCCCAGGGATATGAGGTGCCCATTGTAAGCCTCAGAGAGTTGCCTTCTACGGAGCCCAGCAGAGGAGTGGGCAAGCATGAAGTCCAATCCTGCCATCCAAGCTGCCATTGACCTCACAGCAGGGGCCGCAGGTAATCCCAGAGAAAACGCCAATCCTCTCCTCCTCAAGGACTTTCTATAAGTGAGATCCAGGGAAAGCATCGTGAAAATATTACTTTGTCACCCAAAACCAATATGGTTTAACTCAGAATGAATTCATTTAACGGAAGTGTAATATTGAGTTCTGAGCACAGCAGAAGGTAGACTAGTTCCCATTATATTAAAACTGTATGAGTCAGGCCCTGAGTAGTGTAGGTCAGTGGTTAGATCGCCAGCCCATGCACCGAAGGGTCACTGGTTCGATTCCCAGTCAAGGGTACGTATCTGGGTTGCAAGTTAGATCCCCAGTCCCAGTTGAGGTGTGTGCCAGAGGCAGCCAATTGATGTATCTCTCTTACTACATCGATGTTTCTCTTTCCCCTCTCTATCCCCTTGTTCCCCTCCTCTCCCCCTCTCTTCCCCTCCTCTCCCTCCCTCCCCAACCTCTGCTCCCTCCCCTCCCTTCCACTCTCTCTAAAAACCAATGGGAAAAATATCATTGGGTGAGGATTAACAAAGTATGAGTCAAGGTGCAGGGTGGGAAGGTGTCTGGTTTACAGCTGGAAAACATTGCACCTTCAAGCTGAAGTCCCTGTTCTTTGTCCCTGGCTGGATGTGCAGGTTACTTGGGATTCACTCCAAGCCTAGCAGTCTTCAGAGCCCTTGCAGTGTAAAAATAACACCCAGCCATGTCTCCGGGGAATCCCAGTTACTGTCCTTACTACTGCCAGGGAAGGAAAGGAGGACACCCTTTAGAAATATCTTTGGTAAATGAGACTGGCATTCACTGTATCTTAAAGCCCCGAAAGGTAAGGTGAGGCCCTAGGAGTTGCTGGGGAATGGTGGGCTGGACTTGGTCCTGAGCCCCAGTGCAGACTGTGGCCCCATGGGGTACAAGTAAGTACTCCCCGGCACAGCTTCTAACACACAGGCTATTCTTTACAAAGGTCACCTTGGCTCAGCCTGATGCAAAGGACGGAATGGGAAGTGGATGGCTGGTAACTTGTCTTCCAGATTCCTGTGTTATATTAGGACTGGGGAGCACGCTAATGCTCAGACTTCCCAGATGAAAACCTTGGTTTATCCTTGCCTCTTACACCAATTCTTATAATGGGTTGCAGCTCCGATGAAGAATGGAGAGGCTAGAGCAGGGGTCCTCAAACTACGGCCCACGGGCCACATGCAAATACAAATATTGTATTTGTTCCCGTTTTGTTTTTTTACTTCAAAATAAGATATGTACAGTGTGCATAGGAATTTGTTCATAGTTTTTTTTAAACTATAGTCCGGCCCTCCAACGGTCTGAGGGACAGTGAACTGGCCCCCTGTTTAAAAAGTTTGAGGACCCCTGGGCTAGAGGGTTGGGCTGCCCACTGTCCTATTATCCAGTGGGGCTTTGTGGCTCAACAAATCCACATGGTCACCTACTCTCATCCTGTCGTTCGCTTCATTGTAAAAAAGAAATTGCATTTCAGAGAAGAACAAAGTATTTTCCCATGAACCAAAGGTCGGCCAAGGTGAGCTAATGAGGAAGGCTAGAAACAGCCCACTGCAGACACTGATAAGTGCGGGGTAAGGGCACCAGCTCCCAGGTTAGAGACCACAGGGAGTGTCCCAACCCAGGAGCTGGGGAAACTTTTGCCTGCTGTGTGACTTTGGGTCAGCTCCTCACCCTGCTGTGCAATCCAACTGCAGCCCCTGAGACCTCGCGCCCTGCCCGCCTGCCTGTCCATGCCACATTTGGACACTGACACAAAACAGTGGAACCATTTGGTCTCTGCAATAGGTGGATATTTAACCACACGAGAGATTCTCAGCTTTTGGAATTTAATGTCCTTCAGTCACTCTATCAAAGATGTCAAATCTGTTGTGATAGAGTTGAAGAGCTTACCTTTTCCAAGACAGGCATTTGTATGCCACATTTATAATTTACAGTGAATTTTAAAGCTGTAAATTGCAACTGTATTGTTGGGAGTCTGGTGTGTAAGCATTTGCTGGTGACTGAACATGTAGGGGCTCCTACCCATGCTAACATTAACTTTTCCTGAAAACTGAGAGCAGGTGTTTCTTCCTGCCCTGGAAACACAGGGTCACCCTTCTCTGATACAGCACTGCTCTGGGTCATTTAACTTCCAAGAACAACAGGCTTCTCTTCAGGGGTCTATGTTTTCACCTGGTGAGGCACTTGTGAGCACTGAGCAGAGGAGGTTCCTGGCAGTGACCTAAGAGCTCCCTGTATGTGGAATGCAAAGGGGAAGCAGCCATTCCATATTGGAGGGTCTCACTCTTCAAGTGACGGTGCTAGTCGGGCCTTCAGAGACCATTGGCTCTAATGCTCATTCTGAACATAGAAAAGGGGCCCAGATGGCTTTGTTCCAGCTTGCACAGCTTGATGGTGCACAGACAAGGCTAGGACCTTGGCTGCTTGGTTCCTTGTCTAGTTCTGTTGTCCTCTTTGTTTTAATAGTTTGTAATGGGCCAGTAGCACTCCTGGAGGTGGGGTTAGCTTGGAGCCTTCACTGCCCCAGCTCTCTGCAGGGGGAAACTGTTGGGCGTTGGGGTTTTTATTGCTGGCCAGGAGCAGAGGGACCTGAGTGTTTTGTGGACACAGCCCACCCATGGAAGTGATTAGCATGTAAGAGCGAGCCGCGGTGAGGGTGTAACACACACAGGTTCTTCTGTATCTCTCCTTTTTCGTTTAAGCAAACCTCCCCACCAAGCAGATTTTTAGTGCAGCTTATCTGGCGGGAAGCTGTCACCGACTGTCTGCAGCTGCTGTAGGAGTCTAGGAGAGGATCGAGAGCCCCGGCAGCTAGAATGCGGGAGGAGTTGAAGAAGATAGGTAACTGCATTGTTGAAATGAGGCAGCGAGGGTGTCAGCAGTGTAACCTCGCAGGGGAAGCCTGTGGCAGCGCTGGACAGTTGAAGAACTGTGAGGTTATGCACCCCGCTCCGCTGCTCTGACGCAGCATGCTTGCTCAACCAGCGTAGTTGAGGGATGTGGCACTTTAGGTCTTTGAAGTTTATCCTCTCAAATGCCAGTATTTTTAAATGGGAATTCTTTGACAGTGATGCAGCTCTCTGTGTGTTAAACTGAACATTTATTGACTGCCTCCAGAGGGGGTTGCGGTTCTCACCTCTTTGTGGGTGCGCCAAGTAATTCTGCTTCTCACCTCTGCTCTCCCTGTGAGCTGGCCTTCACCGTGACACTGTCTGTGCCTAATAGACTTCCTCAGCACCTTGATGTTTGCTGACTCAACTACATCAAGGACTGAAAATCCACCAACAGCAACCTTGGTAAAGCATAGAGTACAAGACGGTTTGAGTGCCTCTTGCAGAGTAAAATGCAGGACCCACTGTGATACCTATGAGAGAATGCAGAGGCTATTTCCATGTGTTCAAGGAGGACGAGATAATCAGAGGTCTGAGGGCTAAGCACACGGAGAAATGTTTAGTTCCTGTAAATTATTCATATTCATTGACTTGGTAGGTATCTGAGGACCTGGCCCCGTTGGTTGGTGCTGGTGTTCAGAATAGTGGTCACCCACTTGATGGACATGATGAGTGCCTCGACAGTATCATTTGTGTGCGGTAAATTACCTGCAGAATTAGCTTACCTTCATGGATGAAAGGAGAGCATTATAACTAGCATTTGAAAATTCATTAGGCTCCTACCTTTTTCCTGTTAGAAATGTAACTGTTCCAGATATGCAACAAATGCATATTACTAGTCTAGTAACCTATGATGTCTGGACCATTCAGGATAATTGTAAGACTATGGAAAACTTCCAGTTAAAACATGAATGCTCTGAATTAAATGCTTTATTCAGTTTATCTGCATCTAAGTCATCTAAATTATGTACCAAGTTTAAAAATTCTGACATTCACCTCATCTTTTGGAATAATTAAATTATTGTGAGATAATTAGGATCTTATTTTATTTTGGCCCATTAGTACCTAGGAGAGAATAACTTTAATAATAGTGATGTTTTATTAAATTGTAATTCAGAATTAGGGATAATTAGATAAGACAGAAATGTATTACTACTCTCCTAAAAGAAGCAATCAGTAGTGATAGAACCACAAAGATCATACTTGTGATTTGCTTAAGAGAAGAGATCAAACAGTTTTCACATTCTTTGGAAATGCCTGTTTATTTCCCAGTAATTAATTGGGAGCTATTCTTAACAGCCCCTCCACAATCTCTACTTTCTACAACTGAGTTGGAATAACTATGCATAATGTTAAAATTATGAAATTGCATTTCTTAAACTAAAAACAAAATGTATTGGGGTGACATTGGTTAATAACATTATATAGGTTTCAGGTGTACGATTCTATAAGACATCATCTGTATATTGCATTGTGTGCTCACCACCACCACCCTATAGTAGTCTCCCGCCATCACCATATATTTGACCTCCTTTATCCTCTTCATCCTCCCCCTCCCCCTTCCCTCTTGTAAACCTTTGTACCGTTGTCTGTGTCTCTGAGTTTGTTTCTTAAATAATTTATGAAATCCTTCTCTTCAGTTTTGATTAGGCTTTAATAACCTTATCAGTGGTTATGTTTTATAACACAAGCATGAGACAACTGAGATAAGGTGGCCTTGCAGGCCCAAGGGAAAGTAGAAATATTAGCCAGTGGCAGTTCCCAAAATGCAGATTCAATTCAGGATTTGGGGATATAATAGGGTCATTTTTCCTTAGGTCTTTCTTTTCCTTACGTTCAGAATTTTTCTTGAAGTGATCTTTGGATTTTCTGTATTTAATACTCTTACTGTATAAAATCAAATAAATATATGATTTTTGCTAAGCAAATGTACGTTTTAGTTCATTGCCTATCTGAATACAAATCATGTCTTGGTAGAGTTCAAATAGAGACTTTCTTGTAGGCTCAGATACTTAACTTTTCAGGGATTAATTAGCCACTCTCTTTTCTTTATCTGTTGCCTATTCCTTTATTATTTCTCTGGTAGTCACCAGCACCAGGCATTAGGCAAGAAAAGTGATTAACTCTTTCCAGACTTCTCTGCCCTTCCTTTTATATGGCTACCTGCATAGCACACACGCGCACACACACACACATGCACACGCGCACACACACACATTCACTCACACACAGCAACTGCTTTTTAAAAAAAATTCTCTCCTGAGGATATATATTTTTTTTAAATTGATTTTAAAGAGAGAGAAAGAGAAACATCAATCGTTTGCCTCCCACATGCATCCTGACCGGGAACTGAACCTACAACCCTTTGGTGCACACACAGGACGATGCTCCAACTAATTGAGCCCCACTGGCCAGGGTGCAACTGCTATTTATTAACCACTTGTTATGTAGCCACCATATGTTATCCATTCTCATCCATTGTTATATTCGATCCTTACACTAACCCTGCTAGGAATTGAGGCTGGGAAGTTACATCACTTGTCTCACGTGTTCGGGATCTCACAGCAGAGCCAGGCTTCAAGCCCAGATCCCTCTGACCCCATTGCTGATGCTGCTGACACATGCCACACCTTTTATCAGTGGCTTTGGACTGTTGAGTCCACATCAGTGTCTCTACCATGTGAACTCTTTCAGGGCAGGAGCTGGGGGCCCGGCACACATGTTGTTTATTGGACTGGGTGAGAAGGTTTGGGGGAGCAAGAGGTCTAAATGAGCTGAAGCAGGAGCCAGTGCTGGGGTAGGCTGCCTGCCCCTCGTTTCCATGGGTGATTGAGTCTTCACTCTAAAACGTAGCCATAGACTTGTGCTACAGAAGACTTCTGTCCTGTTCGCAGGGGGCACAGCATGTGTGCTGACTGGGCAGCCCTTTGACACGATGAAAGTGAAGATGCAGACGTTCCCTGACCTGTACAGGGGCCTCACTGACTGCTGCCTAAAGACCTACTCACAGGTGGGCTTCCGGGGTTTCTACAAGGGGACCAGCCCAGCGCTCATCGCCAACATCGCCGAGAACTCTGTCCTCTTCATGTGCTACGGCTTCTGCCAGCAGGTGGTGCGGAAAGTGGTGGGATTGGACAAGCAGGCAAAGCTGAGGTGATTGAAGACACTGACACTTTTTTGATTTGTAAAAAAGCAACACTGTTGTATAGTCAAGATTTTATGATACTTTATGGAGAAAATGTTTCCTTTTTAAAAATAACTACTTTCTTTCTGATTATGAATACACTAGAGGTCCAGTGGGTGGATTCATGCCTGTGGGGTCCCTCAGCCTGGCCTGTGGCCTCTTGCAATCCAGGACCCCTCAGGGGATGTCAGACTGCCAGTTTCGGCCCGGTCCCTGCAGGCCAGTCTGAGGGACCCCACCGATACACGAATTTGTGCACTGGGCCTCTAGTATGCATATAAGATCTTTGGTTAATTTCTTCCCACCCTCCCCCTTCCCCCTTTCCATGAGATTCATAAGTCTGTTCCATGTTTCCATGCCTGTGCATTGAGTGTCTGCCCCCTGGTGGTCAGTGCACATCATATCTACTGGTTGAAAGGTCACTTAGGCTTTTATATATAGTAGAGGCCCAGTGCACAAAAATTTGTGCACTGGGGGGGGGGGGGAGGGCATCCGTTAGCCCAGCCTGCGCCCATTTGCAGTCCAGGACCCCTGGGGGATGTCCACCTGTTGACTTAGGCCCACACCCTGGGGGGATCAGGCCTGAGCTTGCAGTCAGACATCCTTCTGGCAGCCAGGGAGCCCTCGGGGGATGTCCGACTAAAGGTTTAGGCCCCCAAAGGAGCTATGATGAGGAAGCTGGGGTGACAGAGGAGCCACGCTGTCCCGCCCCGCCGCCCTGGGTCGGGTCACACACAGGACACCCAGCTGGGCTGGCCGATTGCTGCTATCCCACCCGGCCGCCCCGGGTCTCAGATAGCAGGCCCGGATGGCGGCAGGGCAGGCAGGATGGCGCTGACCCGCCCTGCCTGCAGTATGCAAATTAGCTGCCATCTTTGTTGGCGGTTAATTTGCATACCACGCTGATTAGCCAATGGGAGGCGTAGCGAAGGTATGATCAATTACCATTTTTGTCTATTTTTTAAAAAAAATATATTTTATTGATTTTTTACAGAGAGGAAGGGAGAGAGATAGAGAGTTAGAAACATCGATGAGAGAGAAACCATTGATCAGCTGCCTCCTGCACATCTCCCACTGGGGATGTGCACGCAACCCAGGTACATGCCCTTGACCGGAATTGAACCTGAGACCTTTCAGTCTGCAGGCCGACGCTCTATCCACTGAGCCAAACCGGTTTCGTCACCATTTTTGTCTATTATTAGATAGGATATATAGTGATTGTGTTGGAATGCACATTTGCATTACACAAAGGGAGAATTGCCAGCCCACCCTTAGGCATTGGTATTCTTCAGGAGAATGCTTTTAAGATGCTGATGGTGGGGCTGCTTCTCTTGTGGTCAGAGGTGCTAGACTAAAACCATAGGTGCAACTTGTGACCCAAACTTTAGGTTCTATTTCATCAGCAAAATAAAAAGTCTTGGAAGAGATTGCCTGAACCAAATAACTTTGAGGAGAGAATTGGAATTTTAGGAAGGGTCAGGAGCATCTGAGAAATTATTGGCGAATCTTCTTTGGCCAAGTCTGCCCCAGACATCAAACTTTGGCTTGGGTCCTGTCATTCTTGGGCATTTATTATACTTAGACTAAAAAGAATTTGAAAGCCCCTGGGATATTTATCCATGCCCCCTTTGAGCATTGCCATGCTTGAAATAACTTAAAACTATTCTGTCAGCCTCATGGTTACAAAGGGCAGGCTTATTGGTTATTTTGGTAGGAATTTGGAATCCCATTGCAATTAAGGTCCTACATGACTGGAGTTAGGTTCCTTTTGTACAGAAATATTCCCTTGGAGGTGCTTAGAGGTCTAAGCATGCTCCCTTTTATATGAAGGAATTCTGTCTTGATGGATGGAACCTGTTTTTTAAAAGCTCGGGGCTGGTGAGCTCACTCATGGAGACAACATTTGTGGAGGGCTGAGTACTGAACCTCCAGTATAGAGGGCCAGAAAAAGGAGAGGAAGTAAAGAAAAGCAGGAGACAAACCAGGAGAGTGAGATTTCCCAGAGTAGAGACTGACAGGAAGAACCTGTTATGACTGCAGCTCACCCCATTAGAGGAAGAGACTCTGGACTGAGGAGTCTGGGCCTCCAACATCCTTAGAGAAGATGGGAAACAGCAACCACATGGGATTCTGGAGGAGTCCTTCAAGACAGACACCTTCCTATTTCCCTTGGCCTAAACCAGCACTCAATTATCTTTTGAACTCAGATTCTTTTTCATCTTGCAGAACAGAGTTTGCTTGTCACCTGTTGGGGAAATGCTGCCTTAGAGTTTACAGAGCTCTGACGTGTATGCTGTGTTTTTTAGCTTTAATGGTCCTGTGGGACAAGCAAAGTGAGTGTTATGTTTTAGAGGGGAAATGGAGTGCAGGTACTGGCATGTTCAAAAGTCACACGGTAATGGCTGAGAAAGCCAGGGCTCCAGCCCCATTCAGCATTCTCCATAAGACCATAGTTAGAGTATTTTGTAGGGGTCAAATCCTGATAAAAGATGAATAAGCAGAGCAGTGAAAAGAAGAAACCGCTTGAGAAAACCTGTTGTGAATTTCAGTAATATTGTAAATATTTGTCTGTTCTTGGTTTGAACACTGCCCTGAGTGGTATCTTTTGACCTTTGGCTGGACAAGATCTTACATGGCAGGATTGTTCAGGTACATATTTGTTAAATGGGTGATAAACAGCCAATTCTTGCAAAATCCCATCCTATGCCTGTTGCCATTTCAGTGCCAGCTCTCAACGCTTATAAGTTAGGCCCAGCCTGGGGCCCATGGACCTCATTTAGTGCCTTGGTAGATGAAAGTATTTATTAGAAAGCCAAAGTCCAGGCAGGTCTGATCTGGCCTTGCTGTTGCATTGTAACGACATGATAGGTGTTTGTTCAGGTGTCCAAACCATTACATCTTAGATTGAATGGGCGGCTCCATTTACTGATGCCACCTTTGTTCCTGCAAACTTGGCAAACTGGTTAATGACCCTGATTGACTGTTGCCTGTCAGCAGATTGACAGAGAGTCCCCAAGGGAGGCCAAGTATGGATCTGCAGGCTGGCTGAAAGACAGCAGAAACCATTTTAAGCTTTGGTTTTGAGAACCGAGCGCAGTAGGAATGGAGTGGGTAGGAGTGGAGTTGAGTGACAGGCAGTTTCCACACTCCAGAGAGCTGAGTGCCAGCATAGTTGTGTATCTGGCTCTGCACCAGAATGGTATGATGTTCAATTCTCTAACATCAAAAGGGAGTCCATACTGTAAGCAGTGTCTTCCTCTTGAGAGTAAGCTGCTCCGAGCCAACCTTTTGAAACCTAACACCAGCCGTACATCCTTCTGAGGCACTGAGGCCAGCCTACCAGGAGAGAGGATACCAGAGCTGGGATTGGAAGTGGCCCTTGATTTGACACTGCTGTTTGACATCAGTTTATTTAGCTATTAGTTTACTGTAACTTTAGGATAACTGAATGTGGTAGGTCTGTTAAGCTTTTGCTCACAGTTTGGAGAAAAATTGTAAGGGGCTCTCTGTACCTGGGCCAGTAAGCTGAGGGGATTACTCCCCGGGGGCTTTTGGAAATCTGTGAGTGCTGCTGGTTGTCCAGTGACAGCAGAATGCTGGCATTTAACAGGGGAGTGTCCGGGAGCCAGCTGTCCTGCTGTGAGCAGCTCGGTCCTTCCTGCCCAGCGGAGGTTGTTCCACCCCATGTGCCAGTCATGCTCCCTTGATGAAACATTGCCCGAGGGATGGAAGGGTCATCTTTTCTGACCCCCATGAACTCTCAGAGAAGCCTTCCTGACAGTTTATTTCTTAGACTTTCCACCATAGTCTTAAACTCTATTGGATTTCAGTTTCACAATGCTGCTGGTGACTGGCTGGTGGCACTAAACGGATATGAGACGAGGAGGTGAAAACTTCTGTTTTTGTATTTATTTGCATTCATTCCTCCATTTCTATTTCCAGCTTAGCCATTTTACCTGCAACCATTGAACTTGCAGACTCACTGGCTTTGCCCTCCCTACATTCCCTCTGTGTTGCTGCAGCCAGGAGGTTATTAGCTGAACTGGGAAATCTTTTTGGAATGAACAACTTCTGAGTTAAAAATTTATCTTGAATTTTCATCTGTGGCAGTTGTAATACATGTTTGCTCCAGGTTGGGTTTTGGGTGTGTAGGGATGGCCTCAGAACCTAGTTTTATGTAAAGCTTAGTGAGCAAAATACACTGGAATATTAACAGTGCATGTGTTAGGGTGGTAGGACTATGGGTAATTTTTTTCTTCCTCTCCATGTTTTGCTTTTTTATATCACTGTGTGTCTTAGTTCTGGCAGCTATAACTAAATACCATTGACTTGCAGGCTTAAACAACAAACATTTGTTTCTCATAGTTCTTCAGACTGGGAAGTCCAAGGTCAAGGTGCTGGCTGATTCGGTGTCTAGTGAGGGCCCTCTTCCCGGCTTGCAGAGGGATGCCTTCTTGTTGTGTTCTGCATGGAAGAGAGAGCGCACGCAAACTAGCTCTCTGGTCTCTTCTGATAAGGGTACTAATCTCACCAGAAGGTCTCCACCCTCATGATCTCATCTAAACCTAATTACCTCACAAAGGAACCCCTTCAAATGCCATCACCTTGTGGCTAGGCTTCCACGTGGAGTTTGGGGATGGGAGACAAACATTCAGTCCATAGCATGTGACCAATAAAAAGAGCATGGATTTTACCGTCAGTCGGACCTGGGTTTGAATCCTAAGCCTGCCACGTGGAAGCTGTGTGACTAGGCACGTTATTTTCCCCGTATGGAGACTGGTGTATTGCTGTCAACCTCACAGGGTTGTGGAATCCTTAGGTAAAGCAGCCAGTGCAGATTCCCGGTGGGTACTCAGGAACTGTTTTCTCTTATGCACACTCTGCTCTACCACCGGAGAGTTTCAGCATGGTGAGTGCCGAGTGAATGAAGAACGGGGCAGGTAATTGGTCGCCTGTGCTTGTGTCCTTTCAGTGATCTGCAGAATGCAGCTGCTGGTTCCTTTGCCTCTGCGTTTGCTGCGCTGGTGCTCTGCCCCACTGAGCTCGTGAAGTGCCGGCTACAGACCATGTACGAAATGGAGACTTCAGGAAAGATAGCCAAAAGCCAGAAGTAAGTACCCCTGGGCACAAACAATAGGTCTCTGTTGCCTTACAGTATTGAGTACTTTGTAATTTCATGTTGTGCTAAAATCAAGTAATAGAAAAACAGATTTCTCTACTCCAAAATATGGTTTTTCTAGAACCCTTTCCCCTATAGTCACAGGATAATTTTCTAAATGGACGGGGTGATGGTTGGACCATCACCCCATCTGACAGATATGTAATACCCCACAAGTGAAGAAGCCAGGAGTATCCCCTTTTGGCCTGTTTTGTAAGTAAGGCATGATCTCCAACCAGGATGGGAGCTTTGGTACTGAGAGCTGAGCCTTCACAAGTGCTCATTTGGAATCGGAGATGAATATTTGCTGCCTGTTCCCAGGATTCACATGGGTGTTCAGGCTGATCAGTCCAGATCCTAGTGCTAACTTCCTTAACCCCGCTCCCTAATCCTTTACTTTTACCTACAAAGGGCCCAAGGTCTGAAAACCCACGGAAGCCCCTGTAAACATAGCTTTCTTCAGTGATCAAATGATCACTCTTCAACTCGGTCTTGAAAATAGAGTCTAGTTACCCTGTGAGTAATGGTATGCAATATGATTTATTTGAATCAAAAAGTAATTGATTATCCTTGTTAACCTCAAAATTTGCTTTTTTATTGTAACATCTGGCTGACAGAAGTTCTGGTGGTGGGTATGGCTGTGGCTAACTCAAAGCCTGTAAGTCTGTTGGGAAAAACCAGTAGATAACCATTTTTAATCTCCTCCCAGTGAGGGTGGGGTATGTCACAGAGCCCTGTTTCCTGCAGCCTTGAGATTCATTACAACCAATTTGAATCTATTAGTCATAACCAGAGGTTCAAATGTGTAAGACTTTAAAATGTTTTATAGAAATATATACACTCAGAAATCGTGTGTGGTTCTATATGTAGCCACAAAATGAACATGCCTTTGTAACCAATGGCCAGATTAAAAAATAGAACGTGAACAGCACCCATAAAGTTGTCCTCATGTCCTTTGAAAGTAGTTTAAGGTATTTTTAAAGAAAGTAATTGTTACATCTGGGTTGTGGTTCAATCCCCCAGTCAGGGCACTTATGGGAGACAACTGATCGATGTTTCTCCCTTTTTCTCTCCCTTCCTCTCTCTCTAAAAATCAATAAAACAACAAAAAAATACCCATTGTCTTTGGGTAAGGATAAAAAAAGTTAAACTGGATCCATTTAAAAAACAAAACAAAAAACATTGGCCTGAGTGGCTCAGTTGGTTGAGCATGTCCTGTGCACTAAAAGGTTGCAGGTTCTATCCCAGTTGGGGCATATACAGAAGACAACTGATAAATGTTTCTCACAGGGATTTCTCGCTCTCTCTTACCCTGTCTTCCTCTCCCAATCCCCTCTTTCTGAGCATGTCCTCTGGTGAGGATTAAAAAAAAAAAAAAGCCCTGGCTAGTGCCAATGGTTAGAGCATCAGCCCATGCACTGAGGGGTTGCAGATTCGATTCCTGGTTAAGGGCACATAGATTGCAGGTTCGATCCCTGCCCCATTTGGGGCGCATGTGGGAAGCAACCAATTGATGTGTCTCTCTCACATCTATGTTTCTCTCTTCCTTCCTGCCCCCCCCCTCTCCTTTCCCCCCTCCACTCTCTCTGAAAAGCAATGGAAAATATATTCTTGGGCAAGTATTAAAAAAAGAAAGAAGAAGAAAGTAATTGTTAGAGCCAAAGGACTTTGGCAAACAGACATCTTGCACAAAAGTAACTATTGGGTGACGATAGTGAGGCACCGCGGTGTCCACCCAGTGGTATGTGATGCTTTAAGGTTGACTTGGATTGGAAGGCAGGCTAATTGTGTTGAATTGGATTACTTTGTCACGTGCATTACAGAATGCGAGCTGTGTTAGAAGGACCTAGCTAAGGGTAATGCCTTTGGAGCCTTCGGAAGCCCTCAGAGAGAGAGAACCATTACAAGCAGTGGCCTTTACTAATCAGGCTTCAATCCTGCATTGGTCCAAGCCAGGTCACCTGATGATAACAAAGGGAGAAGCTAGAGGAGTGTGTGGTTTTTGGCTTCTTGCTGTTTGGCGGGACACAGTCTGCTGTGGCACAACCATTAGGAAGAGGAGGAGCCCAGGTGGAAAGTGCCCTGTGTTCTGGCTGCTGCAGGACTCTGATCTGCTTGAAATAAAAGCTCTTGCATACCTTCCTTTCTAAGAACTGAACTCTTGCTGTGTGCCGTACAGGAACTGTACAGCATTACTTTGGTCTTATCTTCAAGGAACATTTACTCCCTTGCTCATTTCTCTGTATTAACACACAACAAAACAACCCCTAAAACACATGGACAAACTTCCTCAAAACACCAGATCCAAAGAAAGATGAAGGAAATAGGAATTGAGGGAGGTAAGGGATTGGGCAAGTAGAGTACCATCTGTTCTTGCTGAGTTTGGATACTCCTATTATAACTTCACTTATTCACTGTTGAATAAATGGCATTAGTTCTTTTATATTGTTGATAATATGTCTTCTAGAAATGTATTTCTGTATCATAGAATAGTTTAGGTGATAACACTTATCATCACATAATTGTATCTGTGCTTCTCTAGATATTTCCTTCCCACAGGAGTCTTTATTCTCAGAATTCTGTTTATAAAATCAGCTGTTTCCTTCCTAGAGCTTAATCAGGTCTGTTGATTGGGTGCTAATGCCGGTGTTGTGTTTAACACTGTCCCTCTGTCTCCTTCCAGTACAGTTTGGTCTGTAGTGAAGAGTATCCTTAGAAAGGATGGCCCGTTGGGCTTCTATCATGGACTCTCAAGCACTTTACTTCGAGAAGTACCGGGCTATTTCTTCTTTTTCGGCGGCTATGAACAAAGTCGATCGTTTTTTGCCGCAGGGAGATCAAAAGATGAACTAGGTAAATGTATTCACTTTGGGTTTGACGGTGTCAGCTTTCCAATGGTGTGGTTGCTGCGGATTCCATGTGCCCTGCGCCCCGCTGTGGGGGCCCACCTGGCACTGGGATTTCCAGATACTGGGAAGCAGTGTGTCCTTGGCAATTGCAGGCACCTTCCTCTAGGTGGCGCTGGCGACTGTTGGCACCCTCCTTTCAGCTTGGTAATTTCCTCAGGACAGGCTGACGCAGTGCATCCCAAACTTCTGTACTGTTATAATATTTATTAATTTGTTCTGGCTCCATCTTAGAGGTGAGGAAATACAGAAATTCCTTTCCCTATGGGAAAACATCAATAAATAGGGAAATCACCTGTAAATTATCTTGCAATAAGCTTAAAATTTGGTAATAAATCTTGGTAGTGTTTGAGAGAAGTGAAATTATAGTTCTTTCTAGCTTATTCTATTTAACTGCTTGACACAGCGTATCAGTGTTTGGTCCACATGAGTGTGATTACTTTTTCCGTAAAACATCCCATCAGTGTTTTGGACCTATTCTAGGATTAGTCAAGCTCCCAGGCTTAACTGCTCTGTTTAATAAGACAGCATTTATTTTCCACAGTAAAGGAAGAATCAGGGCTGCTGGGCTTTAAAATATTACAGTACTTCAGAGTGAGACAGTTGAAAAGAGGCCTCTGTTTCAGTGCTCTCTCATCTCGTTCCTCCTAGTAGGGCACTGCCGTGCTGCTGGGGGCCTGCTGGTTCTGTGTGGACCAGCCCTCTGGAGGGTGGGGCAGGAGGGCCTCAGAGCCACAGTGACCAGCCTGATATGACCCTCACTAGGGCTTCCCCTCTTGGAGAAGTTTACCGTGTGGGTACACTACCACACAGAACCTGTGCTCTTAGAGTTCGACAGTTGCCTCAGAGAATTGGGCTTCACAGCATTAGCATTTTTATTTGCACCTACCTGCAGCCACTACCTTGACCTCTAGAAATGTCACATCAGCTGTTTTTGAGATAAAACACTGTTTGCTAATTTTCTTCTCTAGGCCCTGTCCCTTTGATGTTAAGTGGTGGAGTTGGTGGAATTTGCCTCTGGCTTGCTGTTTACCCAGTGGATTGTATCAAGTCTAGAATTCAAGTTCTTTCCATGTCTGGAAAACAGGCAGGATTTGTTGGAACCTGTATAAGTGTTGTGAAAAATGAAGGTGGGTCTGCTATTGCACAAACAGAGCACATATGTATGTCATATTTCACTGCTGGTCTTATTGCAGTGTATCGTGTATAATTGGTGTCTGCCCCATTTCATATTCCTTGTCTAGCTAGCACTGTATGTTAATTCATGTTTGTGGATTTGTTTCCAATTCCCTTTCTTTAGCTTACTTTCGTTATTCTCAAGAATGTTTAAAGTTCTTATTCCTAACCCCTTAGCCAGGTACCTGTTAGGATGCTTTGTTCTAAACAGCCTGGAGGGAATTATTAAAATATGGACTTTGTTTAAGGGGACAGATGTTTTGAAGTTAGCACCACTTGTTTTATGTCGTATAGATATTTTCAGATGACCCTAAGAGAACCACTAAGGGATTTAAAAGAATGTGCACCATGCTTAATCCTTAGTCTCCTGGAAGTAGGAATCACTAAGCAACTTCTGAAGGTGATTTTCTATCAGTTTTTAGTTATGTAGGAGGATGTAGATTTTCTACTTAATGTTTGTATAAAGCCAGTTTTATGCTACTATAGTGAGTGAAGTCCGTCCTTCCAGCATCCTCTATACATCTTAAAGCTGGAGATGTGAACTCCTCTATCATGATTTTAAAAGCGAGAGCACAGTAACAGAATGCAGAAATTGTTTAATTTGTGTCCTGAGTACAGATATCTTGTATATTACTAATAGTAACCCCTCTTTGAATTTACATAACACTTTATAGTTTTACAAAGTACTTACTCCTCCCTAATGTAATTGGATCTTCATAGGGCAATGCTAAAACCAGAAATGCTCTTTTCACGTGCCCTATGCCTCGTCTTTGCCTCCCAGGCGAAGCTACAAGATTACGGCAGCCTGTGGCTCTGTGTTCGCCTTCTGCCTGCCCTCGTGAGGCCTCAGTTCTGCCAGATCCACCTACCAGGAGTTAACCAGGCATGGGATTCGTGTATGTTACCTGAGCATCAACCAGCTTTGCTCGGAGTCCTGACGTTGTCCGGCTTCCTATAGTCTATTTAGTTCCATTAGTCCAGGGGAAATCTGGAAATGAGGTCTTTCATCATGTGTTGGTTTTTAATGCTGTTGTATGGATTTGTAAGTGTAAAATATGTATGCTATGCAGCTTCATGGAATATCTCTAAGGAAGGGACTCAGTCTTGGATCACCCTTTTGTCTTCTAGGAATAACGGCCTTATATTCTGGACTGAAACCTACTATGATTCGAGCGTTCCCCGCCAATGGGGCACTATTTTTGGCCTATGAATACAGCAGGAAGTTGATGATGAGCCAGCTTGAAGCAGACTGAAGTATTCTAGCGAACCTGGATCCAAGTACAAGTGTTTGAGGACTATAACTCATCTCAGGGTTTCATGGAGTACAAGCCCAGTGTGGAATTATTTTAATTTCAGAGTATTTTGTTGTCTTCCATTCTTCTATCCTAAATCTTAAACTTCATGGAAGGACCTCAATTTTACACAATCTGATTTCTGCCCATAATTGTACTGAAATAGCAAAGCTGCTGCTGCTGTCCTTGGTAGGACACACAGGGTAGCCTCTGGCCCTCCATTCCTAATCTGACAATCTAAATATAATCAGGGATTTTGCATAAATTTGTATTGTACATGCAGTTTGGATGGTTGTGTGTTGTGAATGAAGCATAATTTTGTTCTGTGTTTAATCAGATCACACCAGAAAAACCCAGAGGTAACCATGTTTCATGAAGATGGTATGATTACTTTAACCCATTCTAGATATAGGGTCTCTTAAAAATCTGCTTAACACATGCACTATACCAAGTGGCTCAAGTTTTTAAAAAGGTTTCCTGTGGTGCTTGGAAACCAATACTAGTATATCCATGGATCTTAAAGAAAAGAATTTAACTGTAAACTGATGTGGCTTCCATGTTTCTGATTTAACTTTCAGAGTAAGCATCCTGGATTTTTCCAAGCTGCTCTACTGAAAAAATAGTGCCATTCATTTTTTTGGTGGGATCATATACTCTCTGAAATATTCTTGGGTGTGGCCTAGAGTATCAAGCCTTTGGAAAGCTGCTTGGCCTTCACTGTGCCAACTCCATTCTTCTCTCACAAAGAGCTTCCCTCTGCTGGGCTTTATGTTACGGAAGGGCCTGAGGGGAGGGGGCTGTGCTGCTGTCTTTGTGAAGACCTTGTGGCCCACAACAGCCCTTAGCTTTGGTCTCTGGGTCCTGGTCTGGGTAGGATTCCAGATATTCTTTGGACCACTTTGGACCATTCACTCATTGTCTCCACCAATTGGAAACCCTTCCTGGAGTAGAGTGCCAAAGCCAAGAGAAGTCCTTGTTCCCTGTCTGGTGACTGCCAGTGCTCCTGGATGGAGCCCTTTCAGAACTAGACCAAACGTAGTGTGTGCACTCCGCAGTGAGTACCGTCAGGGCTGACCCATTCTCAAGTTTTTCTTGGGGTCCATAACTCCATCGTGCTTTGATAGTGCTGGAACCCCTTATATCTGGTACTGGCAGTCGTTGAGTTTTAATGTCTGTATGGGGTGTGACTTTATAAAGCAATGAAACAAAGTAATTTTTATTAAGCTATGCCACATGTATGCAGTAATAGCAACAAAACACTCATTCCTCTGATTCCCACAGACTTGGAGATGGCAGCTGTTCTTTGGCCATCTGAGTGGCACTTCATCTGAACAGGCTAGAAATGAAGTACTGGCTTCCAGCAGGAAGCGAATTGCTCAGGGTCCCTGGTCTCCCTGTGTGGTGCCCGTCAGCATGTGAACACTGTTGGCAGTAGACCTCACATGTCCTCCTTTAAAGGTTTAACTAAATATCTTCAATAGAAACAGTCTGAGGCAAGGAAGACTGAGTGGGAACAAGGAATGGAAAGTCAGAGGAATTGATTTTTCATTCTATTGAATTCATCGTGTATAATTTGTACCATTTCAGATCCGTACTCCAGATAAAAATATAGTCACTGTGTTTAGAGAAATTCTAGTGTTCTATATTATTAAATTATTTGCCTAATATTTGAGTATATGAGGAGTTCTTTTTATACACTGCAATTATGAAACTCGGTTCACTAGAGTTACTGTCTCCCTCCACCAGGCTGTGGATGTGAGGTGTCTGATTTGGCAGGTTACCATTCTTTTTCTTTAAGTAGTTAAACTTCTTTCTATTAAGATATGGATACTGTTCCAGGTAATTAAATTCTGTTTAAGAAAACCAGTATCAAAAAAAGAAAGAGGCCCTGGCTGGTTTGGCTCAGTGGATAGAGCGTCGACCTGCGACTGAAGGGTCCCGGGTTTGATTCCGGTCAAGGAATCATATGCCTTAGTTGCGGGCTCGATCCCCAGTGGAGGGTGTGCAGGAGGCAATGATTCTCTCTCACCACTGATGTTTCTATCTCCCTCTCCCTCTCCCTCTCCCTTTCTCTCTGAAATCAATAAAAATGTATATTTAACAACAACAACAACAACAACAACAACAAAGAACAAAAGAAAACCAGTATCATTCTGATATATTCTAAACAAGTTTCTTGTGTTCAAAGAGTTATTCACATTGGGTTCTAAGACAGCAACCCCCTGGGAGGCCCTAAGCAAGTTCTCTTCCTAGGAGAGGAAGCAGACTTATGTGGCAACTCATTGCCAGAAATTCTGATGGACCTTGGCAGATTAGAGAAGAAAAATCCCAACTGTATCTCCTTATTTCAAAGAGCAAGATTCTTAAAAATGGGGGTCTGCCAGTATTGAAATAGATCTTACTCCTCCATGAGCCAGCTAAGCACTTCCCCCATTCAATTAAGCCTGCCCCCTGATGTGCATTCTGGAAACAACACAGCCTGTTCTGCCACAACACGTTTCTGTAGCACCAATTAACAGGGAATAATGCAGTCATAACCTGGAAGGAACTTGAGAGGGTCCTCCAAGATCTCTTCCTTCAGGGGAGCCAGGTTAGGGAGAGGAGGGTAATAACTTTTGTCAAAAGCAAAAAGCCTTCAGTTGGCCTTCTGCACTGGAAGCTCTGACCGTTTGTGGGCTGTTTTGAAACAAGAAGAGAGCACCTGTGCCGGTGCCACCTTGGCACCCACCAGTCCTTCTGTGATAAGGTATTGCCCAGTTTCCCCTTTTAAAAATGCCTACTGTGGCAACCTCCAGGCATTCTGCGCTGCTACCTGAGTGGTTAGTGGTTAATGTGCTGGTTGCGTTTGTTAGTTCGAGTGGTTTGCCCCAAACCTCCAAACCTCCTAAACTCCCAACCCTGTCTCCCCCGAGCAAACCATTTTAGTCTGTGTTTTTGGCAGAGTGAAAGGTTTTTCAGGAATGGGTTTCGTGTGTTTTAGCAGAGCACTGTTTCTTATTGCTAGCTGTGTTTCCCAATGAATTTAAGTTGGTCTAGAATTGAGAGCCTTGCCAAATAAAGGAAAAATCACTCAAGTAAGGATAATTTCAACAGAGCCAAAATAGAACTGTTTTCAAGCACAATCATGGCCTTAAGGTACAGTGGCAGTGAAAGTACTTAGAATAGCACTGGGTACCAAAGAGAAAATGATTCCCTCTGGACACAGGACTAGAATGAAAAGGCGACCTTCCCTCAGAGTTCCCCAAGCTGCTTTATCCATCATGTTGACCAAGATTCTCCTAGTCTCCCCACGTCTGCGTGTGACTAGAGGAAGCTCGTCGTGCTCTGTGAGCTGCTTGGAGAGCAAGAGAAAAGCGTGTGTTTGGGGTGAGGGGCTGCTGTGTAAACACGTCTCTGGGTTTAAAAGTCTCTGCTGTCAATCTGGTATTTGTTAGTTTGTAAGTCAAATGGAGGAAGAAAATAGAAATTACCTTCTAATCTGAAATTACAAATGTGAAACAAAGGGAATAAATACTTGTCCAAAAATATGTAAATAAGTGAAACAAACCCACAGTATTAGGGGGAATCACAATTTTTAAATATTCCAATTATTTTGATATAAAAGTTTTCTTTAAAGTTTTTAAAAGTGGTAACTAATGTTCCTGTGTATTGTGTTCCAAATTTATCTCAAAACTTTGTGTGAAGTATATTCCTTCAAAAAGGAAAAAAAAATTGCCATTGACATTTTCTCTTGTATATATTTAATATATGTTGAATAGTATTCTCAAGAACATATGTACACATATGTAAATATAAGTATACCAGCAAGGAAGAGGGTTTTGAAGATATAAATACATAGCAGGGATTGGGAAGAATATGATTCTATTCTAGAAGGGGAACTACACTTAATCAGATACCAGGCACAACTTAACATCATCAAAATAAATTTCAACTGCAAACTCTGGACGATAAATTTTCCATGCTTTTGGTTTATGGGGATTATCCAATTCATTTCTTGAAAGATAAAGCCTAGAATAGAAAACACACACACATATTTTAGGGCTTATAGAAAAGCCATTTAAGGCACCCTTTTTAAGGCGTTAAAAAAAGATTTGCTGGCCAAGATTAATCTCTGCCCACTTTTCTCTTAGTTTTTTATGAGCCAATGCTCCCACTTTCTCTACTGAGATGCAAAATATCTGAATATTCACTAACAAACACATGGTAACAACATGTCACTGATTCTTTTAACATTGCCTTTTATGGAATGAATAAAAGACATCTGGGTTTAATAAAATAAATTTTTATGTGACAGAAATCAGCCAGAGAGAATAGGTGTGTATTAAAACCAGAAATAAAATACTGAGTGTCTTTTCAATGATTAAGTTGGCATTTTAGCTGATAACAATCTCATAACTAATAAAAACAGCTTTACCAAGTAGTATGGACATTTCAATGTTGAAGAAATCTTTAGAAACATGTAAAAGTGAGGAGGAAAGTGATCTGACTGTGGTTGTCTCTCTAATATGAGCATGGTCTTTTAAAGGAAAAAAAAAAAGTGTCCTTATTTAGCAATTACCACTTCGGAGGCGTCCCACCTAATGAAGTTCCACCCAGATATCTATTTGAGAGACTTTGCCTCTGTTGTGAGTTAAAGTTTATTGTTTGTATACATGCAGGGAAGGAAACTGGTTAAAAAATTTTCAATCTAAAATTCACTCTATCCAAATCCATTAAATGTGTGTACATTGTAAGTATGTAGATTAGATGCTCAATTTCCTCTTGCCTCAGTTTCCTGTTGTGGACTCAAGTGTGAGTAGATACAGTTCATATTTGAAGAATAGGCTAGGTTTATGTAATGAGAACTATCAATTCATTCCAAATACAATCACAACTGCTTCAAAACTCACCTGCATGAGTTTTTGAACATTATTTTTTCTTTTGTGTTGGGTGGTATTGTGATAGCAATAATCTTAAATTTGTCTCAGCACCATGAAACAAATATTTAAAGTGGAGAATTTCTAGACTCAGGAATGAGTTTCCAGAAGTTTTTTTGGAATAATCTTCAAATCAATTAACATTTACCTTTTTAAAAGTGGTTCGCAATTTAGTTATTAGAAATCACTTTTAAATGTGAGACTATTAATGATTTTTTAAAAATTATAAGGTAAAATTCATTTAGAAAGTTACAGAAATAGTAGAAGGGCCCTTGGAGCTTAGAAGGAAAAGGGAGAAGATACTCGCTTTGAGGGACAAAAAAGGGAGAAGAGGCTAGGGTGTGTTCTGGAAAAGAGAGAGAGCACACACTATGAATGATTTTTTTTTAGCTGTCTTCACAGACACTATGTCTTATGACTTCTGTCCTAGAAAAAAGTGTGACAATTACCTTTTAGAGTAGCTGTAGCTGCCCCTCCCCTATCTCCCCCCCCCCCCCCCCCCGCCAGGTGACACCTTACTTTTGCACAGAATTTGGTGGTGGTCAGTCATCAATAAATGAACATATACTGAGGATCTGTCCTATTTAAGGTACTGAGCAAACTCAAACTGCTGGATTTATTACCACATTCAAGATCTGATTATAATATGTTTTAACTTATAACACAGTCCTATGGCATGGCCTTGAGGATAATGCAAATCTCAAGAATAGCCATATTTTTATAATAACCAGATTAAATGAGTATGTGAATGAAGAATGGTGACTTGAGGATTTTTTGGTTTCTGTAAACCGAGTTTATGGCAATCAGCAAAAAACCTGCCATTACACCTTACACAAACATTGAAGATAAGGCTATTTCTAGTGGATTATATAATAAACCATACCTGTTATTTTCTATGAAGGATGTGTGGAACCAAAAGAAAAAGGGGCAGTTGTCATAGTATTTAGGAAGATCCTAAAAATACATGGATTTAAAAAAGAAGGTTATTCTTCATAATAAAAGTGATACCAAAAACTAATCACCCAACAGGGATTACAATTCCTTCCTTTATTCATTTATATATTTATCAAACAATCGCAGCCATTAAATGTGCAGCGTTTACAGTCTACTACATGACACCGAGGACACAGGGAAGAGGCTTTCAGGGATCACTGTTTCTATCAAAATTTTCAAGGAAATGTATCTTTTTTTAAAAATGTTTTTATTGATTTCAGAGAGGAAGGAAGAGGGAGAGATAGAAACATCAATGATGAGAGAATCATTGAACGGCTGCCTCCTGCACATCCTCCACTGGAGACTGAGCCTGCAACTTGGGAATTGAACCGTGACCTTCTGGTTCATAGGTTGGCACTCAACCACTGAGCCACACAGGCCAGGCATGTATCTTTTCTATGATGGACATTTATGCATTTTATCTGGTTTCGATAGTGCTAAGCAGAATCTATTAAGGGCCTATGCCTATTTATGCACAAATATATCATCCATTCCTACAAGGAGCAGCTATTATATAATTAACTATCATTATTAATGATGATAGAAATACCTAAATTTTTTGAAAGTGCTTTTACTTCATGGCCCTTGAAAATCATAAAGGCCAGATAGTACTAGCATCCTCTGGGTGAGTGCTCTTCACCAGTCTTTCAGCTTAGAGGTCAATGATTGAGAAAGAATTCAGACTGGCTCCATTATTCAAGGGGTAACCATCCAATATGGGAACTATCCAGGTCACTTGCTTTAACACATTTACCATT